TATCAGAAATTGTAGCCCTTTTGCCAACTCCTTCTGAGCAAGGTACAAAGCGACAGAAACAGAATACCAGTTTTTTAGTATCACTTGCCGCTCTATCTACGAGGCCGCTCGTATTTTCGACAACATTCTATTTACCAGTCTATTCAATGGGGTTCCGTTATAATGAAGAAGGTCATCGATCTTTCTAGAGAACGGAAGTTTATGTATATAAATGAAACATTTTATTTGGAGGGGTCAGTAAGAAGATAAATTCGTGGTTCGGTATTTTAAATGTACGAATGTAATAAATAGTTGTAGTTATTTAATAAATTGATAATAAATTATCGTGAGTTTTAATAAATTAGAATAAAGACAATAAATTAGGACTAATAAAATCATTATAATAGTTTTAAATATTGTAATAAATAATTTCTAAAACATTTATGTGAGGTTGTCATTTTTTTAATTGTGTCTGAAGTTGCCCCATTCCCCGTCTGAAGGTGGTGTCCAAGTGGAAGCACCTTCAGACGTTTTTGAAAAAGTGGTTTTGATTTTTTTTACAAGTATAGGGTTTAATATTAAAAGCATATATACAGTGAAAGTTGGGTGAACAATGTATTTTATGAATATTTTCTTTCTTTATTTGGTGAGGTATTTAGAGTGATACGACAGTTCAAATTTTCATGTCTGAAGGAGCCCCACTCTCCCCTACGTTACATAATACCTCCTTAAGGATTATACTTGGAACGTACAGAACATTAACGAAAAACTCCGATAAGTAGCATACAAGCTGAAATAGGGACATCCCTTAAAAAAACCAAAGTTTTTATTGTACATATCGTCGCCTCAAAGCAACAGTAGGATATGTCAACTAATGTAGTTTCGAGAAAAATGCAATTGAAATTTTTACGAAAATTCTTACTTAATAACTTTTTTATATTTGAATAAATTTTCTTGGAATTTTGTTTGAGTATATAACTTTACAGGCCCTACATAAATATTTTTATAGTTATTTATAAAAAAGTGAAAAATAATTAGAAAAAAAGTTATTTGTCCTACTGTTATGTTGCCCTAAAAGTTAATCTGTTTTTTAACGATATCCCTAAATGTGTGTAATATAAATTTATATTGTATTGAAGTTTTGTTTAAAATTTTACACATTTTATTAAGATATAACAATGTTGTTGTTCAGTCATTTTATTAGGTAAATTATAAACTCAACATACATGTTTTCCGACAATTTTAAAACTTGACAACGAAAATGACAAAAAGAATGACGAAAATTTGAAACAAAAAGAATGAAACATTAATCATATTCAGTTGTGGTCATATCGGATACAGAGAACGATCTGAAAAAGTCATGGTGACTCTTTGGTATTAAATTATTGTTACTATAAACTCATTAAATCATTGTTTTGTTCTTAATCGGAATCGGTGGTGCTTGCTCATAGGCAAGAATTAAAGATGGCTTTTCTCTTTGGCTTCTTAATTTTTTGTTAATATTGATAACATCAAATTCTTCCTCTTTGAATGAAAATATATTATAGAAAATTTTTCCAGGTTTGCGTTTCTTGAGACTTTCTTCTTCTTCTTCTTCTTAGGGTGCCTATCCGTTTAGGATGTTGGCGATCAACATGGCTATCCTAACTTTGCTTGCTGCTAATCTGAATAGACCGGTTGTTGATATATTAAACCACTTTCTTAAATTTTGACTTTAATCCATTTAATGTCGTTGATTAAAACTTTTGGCCGTTTTCGTTAACATTAAAAATTCGCTCCCTTGGCTATTTCTTTTCCAATCAAAAAAATCTTCAGTTGACATCTCAGTAACGTCATGTGGCTTACCTTTCTTTTTAGTTGACTTTGCAATGGTGACCAGTTCAGATGGAACATAAATTGGAAAATTTTTAAGTATTCTTGTTCTTTCCTTTTCAATACATGAGTGCATTGAGTAACCTTTGTTTTCTGTGTGACCAACAATAAGGTATTTACGATCTACTTGTTCTATATTATAATTTTCCACAGTGTATAAATACATACACATAAGAAATTTATTTTTATTTTGAGTTATATAGTTATTGCTGTAGAATATCACTTTTGTGCCAATTTTTTTAGAAACTGAAAAACATAAGTTGATATTTCATTGGCTCCTTGTTTGGCTTCTCCTTCATGCCACATGCAACAAATCCAGATTTTTCTTTTATATTAAAGATTGTAAAGTAAAAACGTTGAATTTACTTTTATAATGAAATGTTGCAACATTACCATTTGGCAGTGGAGTAACAGCCTGTAGACCATATGAACATAACAAAATACAATTATCTTTATCTTGCAAAAATTTTTATCTTGTTCATTTTCCGTACAAGATAAAACTTTTTCTTCTTGATGTTTCTCAAAAGTTTTTCTTTTAATCTCTTTTTCGTCATTACTTGAATTTTTATACTCCTCACAGATATAACACATATCTTTTTTTGGTTCAAAGATATTTGGTATTAAAAATATTCGACTAAATGGGTTGTTTAACAAACGGCCTATTATCATTTAAACATTCCTCCTTGTACAACATATACATAACGCTTAAATTAAGAGATCCTTCCAGAAATTCCCTTTTTATGGAAATCCTACAATAATGCGACTGTTTTCTCGGAAAGCTATTTATATGTTTTATTACAGCATTAACTACATTTTGGTCTGTTTTATTAGCAAGATTCAAATGTGCGCTTTTTTCTCACCATACAACTTTTAATATGCATGTAATAGCAGACCTGTGGTAAGACTTCTGAAGATAAATATTGTGACTGTAAGCCGTATAATATAATCAAAGACAAATATTCGCAATTCGGCAATAACTACATTCAGTGGGATGTGCGTAAGATAACTTTTTGTTTAACAATTAATTTAACATTAATATTTGTGCCCAAAATGAGTCAACAACAAAATACAACAGTATGATATGTATGTTGTCTTAGAGTTGCATTGTAACATATGAGTTAAAGAAAATTAAGTTACACAAGGATATGTAATATTGTGAAAAAGGTATTTCAACTTTTTATTTGTCTTAGTGTTACACTCAACAGAAGGGTTTATTTCCAATCATTTGAAACGGTTATTACAAAAGTAATTTTTTTTACATATCCTACTGTTGCTTCTGCATTTTCAGACCAAGAAGTCAATTTTACTCTCAAATGGTTATTTACATTAATGTAGGTAATTACCATTGATACAGTGGTGTGATGATTTTGCCAATTAGTTTATATTCTAAATACAAAATTATACAATCACAATAGGTACTTTTAGTTGTCAGTTTTTGCGATAAATCGAAATTTACAGGTACTTCATTGTGTTTATTAACATAATATTAAATATAAATTCGCTACTGAACCATAAACAGAATCTATTATTAGTAAGTTAAAAGTATTTTCTTCGGGTTTTCAGTCAAGACTTCTTTTACATTTTTTATTGATATTAAAGACCGGATCGGTAAACCATAAACCCTTAAAATCAACTATACATAAATAGTTTCTTTCTTTATTTGATTACAAGATTTTTCATTCAAATTACATTTCAGACTAAATTCTATTCTTCAGTTTACATTGTGTTTTCCATTGTTTCCTTGGTATCTAGAATAATTCGGCGCCACTGTGCTCTTCATTTTTACGTTTCAAATTGTTTTTTGTGGAAATTCCAGATGTTTCTATAAAAACTAGTTACAACTATCTACATTAACAAATTCAATCCTTTAAATCATCTTTAAATTAAGGATTTATACCTAATATATATGCAACCAGTAATACAAAATCGACACCCTAGTCTGATGCTGTCATCTATAAGTCTAATATAAAACTAAAATGAAAAAGTTTTCTAAATTTAATTAATTTGAAAGACAGCATTTTTAAAGTACAAATACTGCATACCAGATGGCGGTCGTGTAGAAATTTAATATTTTTCTGAAATAATTAACTTTTTATTTTTTATTGTATTTGTACATGTACCTGTAGTATTTGTTTTATGGTTACTTTCTATTAAAAATGGTAGTTGTTTAGAATTTCTTGTAAACTAAGTTTGTTTATTTTTTATAGAGATCTTAGCAATTTCTTGAAAATTTCTTAGAAGTCATAATATGATAGAACATAAGGAAGGCAAAGTATGGATATACATGTTATGGCAAAGAATATAGACGTATATGCCTCTCTCTATATTCTTTAGTATGAGCACAGCATTGGTATGTATTGTGGAGCATAGTATATTGCTTAAAAACAATATACTGAGTTTTTAGTCTTTTATATTCCACGTGGGCATGCGCAGTTTTATAATCTGTCTTGCATAGCATGAGAATTGCAGACATTAATAAGAATACTACGTCATATCGATGGAATGTGTAATGATTCATAAATGTTCAGTGGTTGGATTAAAAGTATATTTCTTTATTACGTTGACCTTAGACAAGTTGACAAAACCACAAACACCTACTCTAATATGAATGGTCTGTGGACAAAACTAGTTGTAGAGAAAGTATTACTGGTTGCAGAATTAGTAGGTTTCAAGATATGTGCGTGAAAACTTTCTCAATTGGAAGAAAATATGGAATAAAAAGTAACTATTTGAATATTGTTTTAGTTTAGCATATAGAGATACGAATCAATAATTTCAACAACGAGTTTCTTCCTTATTGTTTGGTTTTAAGACGTGATTTCTCTTTGCTAATTATTTTATTTTCTTCTGAATTAGTTTCCAGTATGTTTTTCTTGTTTTTTCAAGAAATTCGGGACAACTTTGTTGTCCATTTTTATTTTGTTCCGTTTCTTGATAATTTCGTTTTCTTATATTTCGTGAATTAACTACATAATCAGTACAGTTAAAATAATTGATCCCTTAGACATCAGTATCTTGATATCTCTTATAAAAACATATAGGTAATGCTTCTACTTTGTTGTCCGAGGATGAAGGATAGCACAATAAAATTGTTGGGTACATGTTCCTAAACAATAAATACAGGATTTTTTTATTTTTCAATATATTTTTTATTTTACAAAAGTCAATAATATAAAATAAGCCTTAGAACTAAAAGTAATTGTATAAAACAACATAAACAGTAGTTTATTTATAGTCTCATTTAGTTTAAAGCGTTAATGCGCATTATCGCTTTTACCACAACATTGAATCTACGGCATAAATTTGATCGGGTCTCAAGTACCCAATAAACTGCCATCATACCCTCTCACTCAGCTTATAATTCTGAGAAAAATTACCTGTAAGTGCGTAAGTCTCGTTACTATACGCCCCAGTATCGGAATTAGATCTTTTAAAGGTTGTGGTGGCCGATGTTGTAATATCTGGATCTTGTTCTGCGTTGCGGGCATTATCGCGGCTCTCTTGATTGTGATGGTATATTCTTGTGCATGTCACTATAGAGCTTAGAAGAACTGAAAACTCCACGAGGACTATCACAAGTCCGATGCATAGGAAAGCGATGTAATGGTCGCGGTACCAGCGTTCCAGAGGTTCTTGACAACCCTAGAAGAAGAAAAATTACTCATATATAATACATGCGTACGTCATCTGTATCATTCCGTTGTAAACTTCATTTCGTGCTTCCTACTAGTCTGCACGTGGTGGCATAGATACACAGTTGCCCCGTATTTGTGGAATTTTTTACAGCGATTTATTTGTTTTTGGTGCTTGCACTACAATTTTAGCAATTCAGAAAGTAAGGTATGTACCTAAACACTTGATGGTTTCATTTAAATTGTTAGAGTTAGTTAACTTACTATTATTTAACCTATAAAATTGTCCTATTACGGAGAAGTTAAATGCATTTATATTATGATTGTTTCGTTTCTTCATATTCATTTCCAAATCGGGTAATCACGAACAGATGTTCGCGATTACCCGCCAAGTGTTCGCGTTTACTCTTTTAATAATTTGGCTTAGATTCTTTACATTTTTGCTTTTCTTTTGCTTATTTAACAATTTGTATCTTTTTCAGATGCCTTTTAAACGGAAACGAAGTACCAACAAATTTTCATGGACTGATGATCAAATGAAAGCTGCTCTAAAGGCAATTGAAGAAAGACGTTATGGCCTAAGGGAAGCTGCACGCCAATTTAATATACCTGTTACAACATTACAAAACAGAGTCTCTAGAGGCTTTTACAAAGGCAGGCTGGGTGCAAACACTCTCTTTTCAAATGAACAGGAAGAAGAAATGAGTCGTCATTTACTAACGTTATCTAAAATATTTTATGGATTAACCCCAATTCAGTTGCGAAAAGAGGCCTTCGCCTATGCAGAGAAATTAAACTTAAAACATAGTTTCAACAGAGAAAAACAAGAAGCAGGTAAAGACTGGTTATATGGATTCATGTCAAGGCATCCTGAGTTAAGTTTCCGTAAACCTGAAGCAACAAGTCTTAATCGCATTCAAGGTTTCAATAAGGATCAAGTCTCAAGGTTTTATGACAATTTGGGTAAGCTGTACGATGAATACAAGTTTCCACCTACTCGAATATTTAATGTCGATGAGACTGGCATTACAAACGTAAATAGGCCTAATCGGATCATTGGACCTAGAGGCCAAAAACAAGTTGGAGCCGTTACAAGTGGAGAAAGAGGCAAGAACGTGACGGTATGCTGTTGTATGAGTGCCAGCGGATCTTTTACACCTCCACTATTCATTTATCCAAGACTGAGAAGAAATCCTGCTTTAGAAAAGGATGGGCCTCCAGGTTCTTTGTACTCCTGTTCAAAAAGCGGTTGGATGAACGAAGAAGTGTTCCTGTTTTGGATTCAACATTTTGCGAAAACCAATAAACCTACAAGAGATGATCCCATTTTACTGGTGCTGGACAATCACTCCAGTCATTGCTCTATTGCAATTTATAATTTTTGCAAAGAAAATGGTATCATTATGCTGTCAATACCTCCACATACCTCGCATCGTCTGCAACCACTAGACGTTAGCTTTTTCTCATCATTGAAGCGAGCATATGACGTTGAATGTGATTCGTTTTTAAAATCTCAACCCTATGAGAAAATTGAAATGTGCCATATAAGCACTTTATTCTCAAAGGCGTATACTAGAGTTGCAAGCATAGACAAAGCTGCAAACGGTTTTGAGAAGACCGGAATTTTTCCATTCAACCGAAATACATTTAATGAAGAAGACTTTTACAGTTCAAACGATAATCAAACTCAACAAAATAATAGCCAAGAAGGTCTTTCACAAACTATTCAAGAAGATTTACTGAAACCCCAACCAGGCCCTTCCAAAGAAAACCAGATATGTGAAAATACCGAAAATGTTTCATTCAGCGATATCTTGCCTTTACCGAAAGAAAAACAAAAGATATCTGTTCCGAAGAAGGGTGGAAGAAAAAAACAAAGATCCGAAATATTAACCTCAACGCCTTTGAAATTAGAACTCGAACAAAAGGAGCTTAGAAGGAAACAAAAAATGGAAAAAGAAATTGAAAAACAAAAATTTTTAAAAAGAAAAATAAAACTGCAAAGAGAAAAGTACTACAACTTCAAGCGAAGAGGAAGATCGACATCATATAAAGATGATGAATCTGATGACAATGACGATATTAATACCGACGATTGTAATGAAGGAGAATCTTGTTTAATTTGTGGTGAGTTCGGGAAAAGCGAACTTTGGTTCCGTTGCATTATATGTGGTGGATGGGTGCATAAATTATGCAGCGGCTCGGACACACCGGACAACTATAAATGTGATTTTTGTTAATAGGTAATACTGTTCGCCATTACCCTTCTCATGTTTATTATTACCCGACATTTCGGGTAACAGCGAACATTTCGTGAAAATTTTTAATTGAGTTTTTTTATTATTAAAATTTTTATTTTTGATTATCCAATAACAAAAATTAATAGCTGTATTACTGTTAGCCACTCTGTAGTGGTTACCGAGTTTTCAACATTTTTATATTTCAAATAAACAATATTCCTATGTTCGTAATTACCCGTCGTTCCCCTATTCTAATTATAGAAAACAGTCAAAAAAGTAGTAAACCAGAATAAAAACTCACCATGGTATATCTAAATCCTTCGTGCCGGTTTCTATCCAGAGCCTGGCATAATGCTTGGCTTGTAGGTTCTGGATTTAAGTAGGAATCGCTTCTGTTTTCATTAGAGAGTTTACAGCAACTCAGTGGAACTGTCAATCGTGGTCCCAGCAACTTCATTCTCCAGAAAGATGTGTCGTATTCTTCTGAAGATTTAACACCACAGCAGTGAAACTAAAACCAGCATTTTAAGATAAGATAATAGGTAAATTATTGTTAAAAAGTGTATTGTTTATTTTAGAAAGGCTTTTGAGACTATTTACCGGAAAGAAAACATAAAAAGTAAAAAACATCTTGTTTTAACTTTTCAGTAGATGTCAGTTTTGTCTAGGAGACGGATGGGAGTCAATGACGGTCAATTCTAAAGCCAATCGAAAGCTTTCGAGTTTCTTCTTCTTTTGATAGGTAGATAGGTACATTTATCGACTGTGTATCAGTGCCTCCTTTCGGCTCACGCAGATAAGAATACGGCCGAGGCCAGAAGACCCTGCCTGTCGTAAGAGGCGACTAATGGGAAGGTATGAAGGTAATGAGAGGTGGAGAGCCGTCATTTGAGTGTCGGTGTCTGGGTTGTAGAAACGCACTCGGGAGGCTTAGCCATCTCGGTCATCGGTTTACACTCATAGTATCTCGTGGGACCACTCTACTCTCATTCCACAAGAGCCAGGTGAGGTTGACCGAGCTGAGCATGTATATACCTCTCACGGCTTTACACCACCGAGAGTGGTATCAGTATCTCGGCACGTACCCACCTGAATGATTTAAGAGTGGTAGCGGAGTGATCCTCGGCGGCGACCTCTCTACGTGCGAGGTGGAATTCCTCCGCCTGCGTTATCTTTCCGCCCCCGAGTATGGCGACGAATATATTAGATGTAAAAAGCTGTAACTCAGACCATCTACTAGTACAGACACGGTTTATATGCAAAATTAGTCGACAGGTAAAGGAAAAATATCCAAAACAAGAAAAACTAAAATTAGATAACCTAAAAGTCTCTGAGGTACAAGAAAGATTTGAGAGAACAGTGGATGAAAAATTACTAGAAGAAAACAGAGCGGACTCCACAATAGAAAACCAATAGAACACCATAAGCAGTATCATACTCAACACAGCGAAAGAAGTCCTAGGAACAAAGACACAACGGAGAGAAGAAACATGGTTCGATGAAGAAACATACAAGCTATACAGGAAATAAATGAAGCACATAAGAATTACATATTAGAGAAAAACAGATAAACTGTGCAGTCAGAAAAAGAGAAAGTAAGAAAACCAACGGATACTAAACATAGAAAGGGAGTTTAGAGAAAACGAAACACGTAGTGCATACCAATTTATCAAACATTTAAGACAGGGATACAAACAGAAGACTAGCCTCTGCAAAAATAAGAAGGGTGAAATCATTAGCGATATGGACGAAATTAAGAGAACCTGGATGACATATTTTAAAGAATTACTAAACAAAGGGACACAACCACCATTACAACAACAGAGACAGCAGCAGGCATGGCGGGAAGGTACAACAACAAGAGCTGGGGAAGATGGAGAAGAAAATGAATTAACTAGACTCCAATGCTAGAGGAGGTCCAAACGGCAATCCACATACAAGAAAGCCATAAAGCACCGGGAATAGATAAAATACCGGCAGAACTACTTTGCAAGGAGGAAGGAATTTGACACAACAGATGTACCAGTTAATACGAGAGATATGGATAGAAGAATAAATCACTCAACAATGGAAGAAAAGTATAATCTGCCCTATTCATAAAAAAGAAGACAAACTGTTGTGTCAGAATTATAGAGGCATCTCTTTACTTTGTTCGGGATACAAAATACTCACAAACATCATTAATCGAAGACTTCAACCTCTCACGGAAAAAATCATCGGGAATATCAAGCAGGGTTTAGGCAAAATAGATCTACCATTGACCAACTATTTACAGTTAAACAAATACTGCCAAAGCATGGGAATATGATAATGGACGTTTACAATCTCTTTGTAGATTTTAAACAAGCCTATGATTCAATAGATAGAACAATTCTACCTAATATTTTGGAAGAATTTGGCATATCATCAAAATTAATACGACTAGTGCAAATGACAATGACACAAACAGAAGCACAGGTATGTATTCAAGGACAGATCACTGATGCGTTACAATAACGCAAGACTGAAACAAGCACGGACTGGCTCCAACGCTTTAATCTTGTTCTTGAATATGTAATTAGACGGTTGACGGTGAGCGAAATAACATACAAACAAATCTACCCAATTAGCAGCATACGCAGATGATATAAACATAATGAGCAGAACAGTGAATACAGCGTAAGAAACCTACGTTGAGTTGAAACAGAGTGCAGAAGCAGTAGGGCTAGCAATAAATACAAATAAAACAAAGCTACTCATACAAACCAGATCAAATAGACCGGCGCAACAACACTTTATTGACGATATAGAACATGTGAATAGATTCACATACCTAGGAATGGATCTGGTCGCAAGCAATGAAGAAGAACCGGAAATAAATAGAAGGTTGTGCTGGCAAATAAAGCCTATTTCGCGATGGGCCACATATTCAAATCGCGAGACACTGGAAAACAAGAATCCGGGTCTATAAAATAATAATCAGGCCCATAGTAAGTTATGGTTGTGAAACATGGGTGGTGACACAGAAATCTGCCAATGCATTAGATGTGTTTGAAAGAAAAATATTACGTAGGATAATGAGCCCAATAAGTGAAAACAACAACTGGCGAATTAGGTATAATAGAGAAATATACGAGCAATATAGCGAGCAATTCATGAGAATGCATGAGAATAGAATCCCCAGAAAATTACTAAATGCAAGAATGCAGGGAAAAAGATCTGTTGGAAGACCTAAAAAGAGATGGGAAGACGAAGTCGATGAGGATGCCAGGAACTGTCCTGGGAACGCGTTCATGGAAAAGAACAGCGGTAAATCGAAATGATTGGAGAAGCTTGTTGAAGGAGGCCAAGCCCGATTTGGGCTGTAGTGCCATTAAATGAATGGATAAAAGCAGTTAGAGAAAATAAATATTTGATTTAATGACCAGGTTATGTATTAGTGATGAAGAAATGAAAATTGTATAAAAGTACATACAAAAATATTGCATTTGTTTGAATCTTACCGACGCCTGTGCCAAGTCTATTGCGTTGGTAAACTGTTCTTGACCACTGGTTCCATAATTTCTCTGTATCGCTTGCGTCAATTCGTCTACATCAACTCCAAGTCCCATACAACTGGGCCATATCGAGGCTATGGCAAAAATGGCACATTCTCCTACTAGAACTATCATCACTAGACAGAAATACTAAAAACCAAGACAAAAATTAATACTTTTTGGAAAAAATAGCTCAAAATATAAACTATCCTCTGTATTGCTATATTCTAAGTCGTTTTCAAATGGTCGTTGAGGTAGTGATATTCCTGAAATAGTTTTTTATTTTTTCTTGTGTGTTATATCTCCAATTTTGGTTCTATACTGATTTGTCACATAGATCAATATATAGAGTTAATAGATCTATAATATATAGAGTTATAAGGTCACCTTTCGAAAACAAATTAAAATGGAATGTGCATATTAATAAATTACAACAAGCATGCCAAAACCGATTGAACATACTAATATTATTATCTAATAAATTTTGGGGTGCCGACTGTAAAACATTAATTAACCTTTACAAATCACTGTATAGAAGTAAATTAGATTACGGTTGCATATCTTACGGTGTAAAACTGCTTTAAAAAAACTAAATAGTATACAATCCACAGCTTTGAGAGTAGCACTGGGTGCCTTCAGAACTAGCCCTATTAGTAGTATACATCCAGTATTGCCCCAAAATTGCCATCCCAGTATTGGTTCTACAAAACTAATTAAAAATAGTACTCCCCTTATAGAACGAATAAAATCTAACTTTGATATGGATAAGCTAAATCGATCTCTACAAGTCAGTGCAAATTTTCCTCCATGGACAATCCAACCACTTACCATTGACTTAACCCTCACAAAATACCCCAAATCAACTACAATTCCGATTTTCATTAAACATTTGTACTCTGAAGTGATATTTCATTATCCTAATTATCTCCAAATTTTCCTCTAAAGCTCATGACGGACATGCTGCTGCATACTACTGTAAATACCCTACTCACACTATATCCATAATTACAAACTGCCGCATCCTCATAGACGAGACCACAGCCATTTTGGAAGCCTTAATTTTCTTCAAAACGAGTAGTGAAAATAAATCTGTCATCATCACTGACTCATTAAATGCTCTATTAGGTGTAAAACAAATATACCCTACAAATCCAATATTTCGGGTTATAAAAAATGAGATAAATATAATTCGATCAACTCGAAAAGAAGTAGCATTTATCTGGGTACCGTCGCATGTTGGAATAGCTGGAAATGAGAAAGTGGACAGCCTAGCAAACACAAGTCGAAATTAACTCACAATACACAACCAAATCAAGAAATTACCCATACTCCGATCTCAAAAACCTAATTAAAGACCACTGTATGAACATATGGCAAGACTACTGGAAAAATTCAGGAACCAAACTATATGAGATTTATCCCCTTGTGAAGACCATCTTGAATAATCCATCCAATAGAAGGGACCAAGTAATAATTAACCGACTAAGAATTGGACACACTGCACTGACCTATAAATTCTTAATCAACAAAGAATTTTCTCCAACCTGCAGAAACTGTTCTCTCCCATTGACGGTGAAGCATATTCTGATTGACTGCCAGTACCACGAAGAAACAAGAAGAGAATATGGAATCTCAGATGACATCAAAACCACTTTAACTATAAACACTGACCATGTAATAAATTATTTGAAAGATTTACGTTTATATACATCTATTTAATGTAAATAAAATGAATTCTTGTGTACGTTACTCCACTAATAACCCCCCTACGTGGTTGATGTAAATTATATGTTTTTTTTTCTAAAAAAACTGAATAAAAATCGAGACAAAAAAATACAAAAAACATAAATAAATCACTTACCACACTTAACAAATAATAATTGTGGAAACACGATGCCCAGCACCCTAAAATGCCAGCAGACGCTATCACCACCCCAACTAAAGCAGCTCCTAGGGAGATATAGTGTAGCAAGGGGTACGGAAATGTGGAAAATGGTCCTGTGGGGGCTAGAAGTCTTGACAGTAGTACTCGTTCAGCGTCAAACAGGACTAGCGTCCCTCCAACTATAAGAGTAAAGCCGCAAATCTGAAAATAATCATATTTTTTAAATATACTCGTAGTATCTGAACATTTCGACGATAATAGTATATTACTTTATGAGGCGGAGAAGCATGACTTTTCTTGACCCGCCCGATATTATATAGAGGGCAAGTCAAGAAAAGCCGCTTCTTTGCCGAATAAAGTATACTATTTTTTCTTCAAACGTAGCAATTTTCAACCATAAATCGTACAATTCATACGCTATTTTTACTCGAAATTAACTGTGACAACTATCAAAGTCGTCTAGATGTTAGAAATTAAAATAATTAAGTCGTCGGTGGGATTTGCGTCTCCCTGGTTACAGTTGTTTGACAGTTGTTTGCAATTATTAAAGACAACTTATTGTTGTTGCAACCGCAAGCGCAAATTTAGTGCGAAAATGGAAAACCTAAACGAAATTGAGTCCGCGGCTAATGATGCAGTAGCACGTTTGGGGCCCTCCAAGTCCGGAATAAAGTATCGGTTAGCGTACAAGCACTTCCAAGAGTGGTGCGATACAAGAGGAGTACGGCAAGTTACCGAAGACGTTTTACTGGCATACTTTAATATAATGGAAAATGAAAATAAATGGAAATCTTCTACAATGTGGTCACGATACTCTATGATAAAATCCGAGTTAGTTATTAGAAAAAATGTGGATATAAGCAAATTTTTAAAGTTACGTGCCTTTCTGAAAAAAACAAGCGAAGGATATACTGCAAAGAAGTCTAAAGTTTTCACTAAAGACGAGTTTGATAAATTTTTGTTTGAAGCGCCATATAAGTTGTATTTAGGATTAAAGGTAAAAAAAATATATTGCAAAGCATGTAGTATACTCTATTAAATTATAAAAAATATTTCAGATTGTTTTGTTAATTGGGGTTACCGGCGCCTGTCGATGCGACGAAATGGTAAAAATGAAGACTGTGGACATTGAGGATAAAGAAAATGTAATAATTATCAAAATCCCAGACAGTAAAACACGACAAATTAGATCTTTTACGATAATTGGTCAAAACTACATTAAACTGTATAAAAAGTATGCATCACTGCGGCCTGAAAATTTCACAAAAAACCGATTTTTTATCAAGTACCAAAATGGAAAGTTTTACCGAAGCGTCATGGGAATACATTCGATCAGCGCAGTAGTCCAAAAAGTAGCTAGTTATTTACATTTAAACCATGCAAGCGCATACACAGGTCACTCTTTACGACGAACTTCAGCAACACTTTTAATTGATGGAGGCGGAAATCTAGAATGCCTCAAACGACATGGGGGCTGGAAATCAAGCACGGTTGAAGAAGGATATATAGAGGATTCAATAAGAAATAAGAACGATAATGCTCAAAAAATTTTAAACCCTCATGATTCGCCAACATCGGGAATGATTGCTGAAAGTTATTCTCGACCATCAGTATCATCAACAATTACCAATGCGTATCAAGAGTCGGGAACATTTTTGCACGGTTTCAATTTTGAAAATGCCTCATTAACTAATTGTACTTTTAATATTACTATAAATAAAAATGATGTTTAATTGTTGTTAATGACATTTGTATTGTTGCTTTGTGACATGTTTCATATTGTTGCCATGACAACATTTTTCCCTCCGCCGTAAAGAAATGGGAAAAAAAACTGCTGCCGACGGAGACATCAAACTTTGACAGGATCAAGTTAGATAAGTAATGTCATCATTAGGTACTTAATGTTTCATTAATATTTTTTTATATTATTTTTAGGGATATATTGAAAACTATTCAACCGATTTAAGTAAAATTTGGTATCTTGCTATTATTTAGTATGCTTAATATGAAAATGATATTAGTTTTACCGATGACACTAGGTGGCGCCACCTACTATAACATTGGTTCATTAATAGGGCCATAATTTTTTTCCCACCCTGTATAAACATTCTAGGAAAAAAACATGAAATAACATTCAATTCTACACAAAACAGGTATTCTTGTTTCAAATCAAAAAAGTACACCGTTTTCGAAATAAATGTATTTTTTAGAGACGTGCATAAAATAAAAAAAAATTACAAAAACTTATGTAAATTCAAACATTATTCAAAAGGTCTTAAATAAAAGTGAATATTAAATGTATTAGTAGTAGATAATTTTTGTAAACAAAATGCATATGATTGAAACAATTATTCTTATTAAACCTTTGACTCAGTAACAAATTTAAAAAAAATCAGAAAATAAATTAAACAATGAAGTGAATATAAAACAGTTAACAAAGTGAATAATTCAAAACGAAACGAAAAAAAATTACAATAAGTGTTCAAAATGTGCACCATTAGATAAACTACATAATATAAATTCTTTGTGTAAGTTTTGTCTTATTTTAAATAATGAGTTTCTTTGGGCCCTAATTACGTTAACTCCCTCTACAATATTTTCCCATAACTCTTGACGGTTATTTATTTTTTTTATAAACAAGTGACTTTAGATAGCCCCACGAGTGAAAGTCTAGGGGATTTAGTTCGGGACTGCGTGCTGGCCATGGGTATACACTACCTCTACCAATCCACCTTTGAGGATAAATTTCATCTAGATAATTTCTAACTTCTAGGCTATAATGTGATGGTGCACCATCATGCATGTACCAAGAGTTCCGTCTCAAATTTAGATGTCTTCTAAAAGAGTTGGTAAATCTTTTCTCAAAAAATTTAGATACGTTACTCCGTCAAGCCTAGTTGGTAATTCGAATGGTCCTACAATACAATCCCCAAATATGCCACACCAGATATTTATGGAAAACTCGTGTTGAAAATGATGTTCTTGAAATGCATGAGGATTTTCTGTCGCGTAGGTATGGCTATTGCGCCAGTTAAATACACCCCTTCTAGTAAATGTGGCTTCATCGGTAAATAAAATTTTATTATAAAACATTGTCTATCTGCCGTCTAAATGCCGCCCCATCATAAACTGACTAAATCGGAGCCTTGCTGGAAAATCCTGTGGTAAAAGATTCTGTACTGGAGTAAAACGATACGGATACAGATTTTCTGTCCGTATTATTCTTGACACCGTAGATTTGCTTATACCAGTGGCCGCAGAAACAAGCCTTGTACTGGTTTCTGGATCTTCTGCAACACGCACAACAATTTCATCCTCCATATCCGCATCAATTACTCTCGGTCTTCCAGCATTCCTGTTTTTGGGATGAAATGACCCTGTTTCGCCTAATCTGTCGAACAATGATCTAATAGTTTTATGGTTTGGTTGCCTTCTATTGGGATAAAGTTCGAAATAGAGTTCAGCTGCTTTACGAGAACAAAAATTTTCCTGGGCATACAAACAGATCATATCGCGCATTTCTACATTAGAAAATTCACTATGACGTGGCATTTTTCCTTTATCTTAAGTGGTTTATAAAAAAACTTAATAGCACTTTGACAAATAATGACTCGCACTGCACTTTGACAACTAATAATAAATAAATTCGTAGTTACCTTTGACAACTAATAATAAATAAATTCGTACTTACGCCTTGACTTTGCCATTAAGTTCACAGCATACCTAGGTACCTGCTTGTTTTGCGAAAAACAAAATACGTTTATTTCGAAAACGGTGTACTTTTTTGATTTGAAACAAGAATACCTTTTTTGTGTAGAATTGTATGTTATTTCATGTTTTTTTTCCTAGAATGTTTATACAGGGCGGACAAAAAAATTATGGCCCCATTAATGAACCAATGTTACAGTAGGTGGCGCCACCTAGTGTCAATGGTAAAACTAATATCATTTTCTTATTAAGCATACTAAATAATAGCAAGATACCAAATTTCACTTAAATCGGTTGAATAGTTTTCAATATATCCATAAAAATAATATAAAAAAATATTAATGAATCTCCTGTAGAACGAAAACTAGCAACATTTTTCCTAAGCAATTTGAGCTCAAACGCTTTATTTTGATGTCAGCTATCACCCATTAGCTAATGTCCAATTAATTATGGGACACCCTGTATAGGATATCGTATGTTAATTTATAGTGTAATTCTATTTTAGTGAAAAAAATATTCCTTAGCATGTCTTTTTTGCCCACCCTTCCCTACCTTTACAAATTGTCACACTGTATATTGTAGAAGTACCTGCGTAAATATAAATTTTAATAAAATATTTACCTACTTACCAATAACAGAAAATTAAAAAAAGCTAAAAGAATTTTACTGCCAACTAGAGACAAAACAGCCATTTTTCTTCAGTTATTTTCTTCACCGATAAGGTACACAATTCACCGATTATTTCCACCACATTCGTCCACCTTTCGACCGAAAAAAACAATGCGTATTGCAGTCAATGAATCAAACGGATTAAAGCGATTAAATGACACATATCTTTATTAACGTATCGCCCTAAGTTTATTGTCGTTATTAATGGAGCTAATTCGTCATTTATTAGTAAGTCGAATCAAAAGTGGTTCGTAACAACTGGGAGACACTTGCATGTGCATCATGGACTGTCCAAACGACGTACTTCATTCAAGATTTCCTGCATTTCTCCAGACGTATCTAAAATATAAAATATAATAAAATAAAATAACACTGTGGTATAGCAAACATACAATTTTTTAAATGGGACACCCTATATATTTTTTTAAATTTGTTTTTTTCTCCTAATTCTTGATCTTACTACACAAGAGTATTCAACAAGTTATGACCATTTTTATTTCGAAATCCCTATATTTTATATAATAAAGTAAACAATATATTCATCATCGACTAGCCTCTAACGTCCACTGCTGAACATAGGCCTCTCGCATGCTTTTCCACTTAGTCCGATTTTGCGCCATCTGAATCCAATTTGTAGTCACTCTTTTTATGTCATCTGTCCATCTTGTTGGGGGTCGACCTCTATTTCTGTTAGCTTGTATTCGGGGCCTCCATTCCAAAATTCTTTTTGTCCACCGGTCATTAACTGATCTTGCTACATGACCCGCTCAGTTCCACTTTAGTGTTGTTATCCTTTCACTAACGTCTGCTACTCCTGATCTTTTGCGTATAGTAGCATTGGGTATTCTATCACGTAGAGAAATCCCTAACATTATTTCTCTATTGCCCTTTCCGCAACTTGTAGTTTACTAACTGTTGTTCTTGTGAGTGTTAGGGTTTCTGCGCCGTAGGTCATCACTGGCAAAATACACTGATTAAATACTTTTCTTTTCATATACATTGAAATCTTAGACCTAAAAATATCCTTCATCTTTCAAATGTAGCCCAAGCGAGGTTTATTTTTCTTTTCAGCTCGATTGTTTGGTTGTCTCTACTTTGTCTCTCTACTGAGATGTTTTTTGTTGTGGACTAAATTTGTCATAAAATGTGTTTTTGAAAAATTTATTTTAAGACCAACTCTTTTTGTGGACAGTATGGAGTTCTTGGAGCATTATCTGTGCCTGATCAAAGTTGTCTGCAATAAGAACGATATCATCTGCAAATTTAAGGTTAGTTAAAAAATTTTCCATCTACATTGATGCCATTTTCGTTCCAATCTATTGTTTTACAAGCGTATTCTAGCAAAGTTGTAAATAATTTAGGAGACATGTTGTCTCCTTGCCGAACGCCCTCTTATAATACGAAAGGTCCCAGTATCTTCATTAAGTCTTACACAGGCTGTAGCATGCTGATAGATGTACTGATGAGGGGTAGTATCGATGATCTATTCTACATTGTGTTAAAGCTTGGAGTATTTCACTTTGATTGATTGTAGTTAATGCTTTTTCAAATCGACAAAGACAAGTATCAGGAGTCTTTTATATTCAATGGTTTTTTCAATTAATGACTTAATGGTTTGCAAATAATCATTTGTTCTGTATCCAGCTCTAAATCCTGCTTGCTCACAAGGTTGATAGAAGTCTAGTTTTGATGTCAACCTATTAGTTGTTATCTTCATAAACAACTTATAAACGTGAGATAACAAGCTAATAGGTCTATAGTTCTTTAGCTCTGTTATATCTCCCTTTTTGTGCATGACTAATATAACAGCTTTATTCTCACTGTATTAATGGTGTAACTCTTTTGAAAGGCATTATATATAATCATATAATATATATATATATATATATATATATATATATATATTATATATATATATATATATATATATATACTATATAATATATATTATATATATATATATATATGAGGTTCTTGAACTCCTAAGTGGAGCATAGGAGCTTCAGTGAAAACGGCGCCATCGGGTTCTATGTTGCGCTAAGGCCTTCACCTCATTCCAAGACTTTTCCTTTGTTTTCTTATCTCGTCCATGATGGATCTTCTCCAAGTTTGTACTGGGCGACCTTATTTTCGTTTTCCTTGGGGATTCCACTCTAGGGCAGTCTTTTGCAATACTGGAGTTATTTTTTCGGAGTGTGGTGACCGATCCAACCCCACTTTCTGACTTTATTTCATTTACTACCCTCTTTTGTTTGGTCAGGTGTAGTAAATCTTCGTTTCTGATGATGTATAGGCCAGAAAATACGAACAATTCTTCGTAGACATTTATTAACAAAGACCTGCAGTTTGTCTGTAAGGGTTTTGTGTCGTCTTTCCAGTGTTTTCCACATCCGTAAAGTAGTACAGAACATGACATTTGACTGGATATGGCGGATCTTTGTCATCGTAGTGTAGTCTCCAGCCTCCAAACAGGGTTGAGCATGCTGAAAGCTTGTTGCGCTTTTCGTCATCAACTCATTACGAATATCGTCTTCTGTACCTCCGCTTTCTGTTATGACATTGAAAGGCATAAGTTATATAAATTACTATTAAAACTGGGAATAAGCCACAATTAAAGATAAAAAAATACGTTTATTGACGTTTCAATTTCCACTTCGGAAATCGTTCTCAAAATACAAACAGTAAATTAAACAAATTTTTGTTTTTAAACTGGTTTTCCCTCATAATTTACTATGGAATCACTAACGGGAGATTTTACTGTCATCATGTACATGTGTTTGTCTTTTTAAAAACGAAATACATGCTAATGATTTTTTCTGACGGATATTCTCAAGTTAAAGTTGATTCATGTAATCGAATGAACTATTTATAAGTAAAGTCGTCCCAGGAGCGCAACTCAACAATATTGGCAATTTCATTTAAAGTCGTCTACTTTAAAATGCACTAATGTATGTCTGAATTGTCAATATAAATGAGTCAGATAAAATTAAATTATTAGAAGAATTTTTCACTATGTAACAAAAACCAAATTTGTTTATATTTACTGTTTGTATTTTGGGAACGATTTCCGAAGTGGAAATTGAAACGTCAGATAAACGTATATTTTATCTTTAATTGTGGCCTTATTCCCAGTTTAATAGTAATTAATTTACAATGCCACAAGAAAATAGCTTCAGAACAATCATCAGTTATATAATTTTGTCAATGCTTTCAATACTGTCTTTCCTCCTGCTTTAACTGTCTAAATAACGATTTGGTCATCACCAGCTGCCTTTATTGTTTTTTTCATTCGATTTAATGGCTTTGAGACTTCTTCGATTGTTAATTTCTGGGATATCCTCTGAACCCACATTCTGGACTTTTATCAACTTGGTGCCGTCTTTCTTACCTCTTTCTCTATATAATTCTGTGTAAAAATTCTTCAACTGCCTTAATTATCTTATCTTTATCTGTTACCACTTTTCCATTTCGATCTGCGAGCTTAACAATATTCTTCTTACCTAGAGCTTGACATCTCTTCAGCACCTTTAAACTTTTATTTTCCTCGACAACTGCTTTCTCACTGTTTTAATAATATCTTTATTAAGTTGTTGTAGTACGCGTGCATTCGTATCGTTATTGTTCTTAAGTTCTCTTTTGTGTCTCCATAAGTCTTTTTGTTCCTTGACTGATTTTTTCCACCATATCTCTCCTAGGATTTGTATTGCACTTTTTATCTGCGTTCTTAAGACCTTTAATTAAGTTATCATTTAAGGTTTCGATATCCATAACGTCTATATTTGTTGTCTCTAGACATCTCAGAATTTCCTTTTCGAAGAACATGGTGTTTTCGATTGTATTCCATCCTATTGGGTGTGTTTTTGTTATCATTTTGTATCTTTGTTTTTGGGGATTTAGCACGATCTTCGTTCTTACATGTCTCTTTGTTGTTGGTTAAGACAAAATCGATTTCATTTTTGGTGACTCTATCTGGACTTGCCCAGGTCCATTTTCTTTGGAGACGTTTTTTGAAAAAGCTATTCATTGCAAAGAAGCCATTTCGTACCAAGAAACCTAAAAACATTTCGCCTCTTTCATTTCTTTGTCCGAATCCGTAGTTTCCGAAACACTTTCCGAAATATTTTTAGTTTTCTTCAAATTACGAAAATACATTAAATTTCTGTAAGTAGAAACAGATATTGAGTACTGAGTGATAATATAACAAAATTATTTTTATTCAATAACTAACAAAAAATATGAACCATAATAATATGTAATGAATGTATTAATAAATGTGATATTATGGAAATATGGGGGTAAAGGGGTAGAATGCGAAAACATGGAGTTGCTTCCAGTTTACTCCACCTAGCCTCTTCTACTCAAATCTCTCACCTTCACGCTGATGCCCCTGTTAAACCGAGCAACCCAATTTGAGATCCGGTATCCAACCCGGGTGGAAAGTTGGGTCGGAAACTGACGAGAGCGGGTGAACTGGTCCTCCAGGTTTTGGGGTTGGGCGTAAGGTTAACACCTAGATACTGTTGTAAAACACAGCATGTTACGAAAATTCAAGGTAAAGTTTCCAGACTGAAATCTAGACGACGACTTGGCGAGAAAAAGGACAAAGAATTACAATTAAGTACGTCGAATGTGAGATCCTTATATAGAACTGGAGCATTGCTTGAACTCCTTGACATCCTGGATAAATATAACATATACATCATAGCGCTTCAAGAAGTTAGGTGGTTGGGAAAAAATATTCGAGAAAAAGAGGCTTTCAAAAGATTTCAATATTATAACTCTAAGGAGGCATCATTAGTGAGAAATAGGAATGACCCTGGTGACACCCCTCAACAAGAAGAAATGTCCGAAAATACCAATGGCAGCTAAGCAACACACTTGGTCAGAAGTATTGTGTTAGAAGACAAACAGTATCTTCAAAATGATAATCAGAATCATGCATTAAAAAGGCTTCCTGAAAGAAAATCCTTCGAATCTATTTTACTCGAACATGTCAAACAATCCCCCTCAAATCAACAAAAGCGTAAGAAAATCTGTTCTGGCGCTGAGATCATAACACACACTGACTATTTAGCAAAAATGAAGATACAACAAGACAAAAGACCGTAAAATCCAATAAGACTTAAAGGAAGGGTAAAGAAGAAGGAAACACAATCTGACAGCAGTGATGATGACCAGTCCATTGAGATGAGATCAGTTTCCGACGACGATATCGATATATTAAGGTAACCAACCCTTCCCATCGAAGAAGAGTATGAGAGGCTATGCCCGATGATTTTGTATTAATGAAATTTCCAGTTAAAGGAGGCTCAAATTATATTTATTATGTCGCTAAAATTTTGCAGTGTTTTGATACTGAAGTTAAAGTTATTTGCCTTCGAAAATGCGTAAAAAATGACGGAAAATATTATTTTCCTAGCGTACCACACATATCAGTAGCATTTAAGTTACAAATAGAATTTGTATTACCAAAACCAATAAGTTTTACTCAACTTACAAAAAGTCCAACAAGGTTTAATTTCGTTTCCTGTTTCTCTAAATCACTATAATATTCACTAATAACTATCTTTTTTAAAACTTTTCTTACAAATGTATTCAGAAATGTTTTTTTATTATTTCTACTTGCCCCAGAACGATTTGCATTGAATTCAATATATAAATTCGGATAGGTTTCCACTTGTCCCTTGCCATGTAGAAAATGTGGGCAAGTGGAAACCATGTAACATGATCGAAATTTTTTGTTAGAAAAAAGTTCTTTAAAGTTTTTTTATGTTTTAACACCGCACGTATTAGAAAATGGTGTAAGTCTTACCTGTCGGTAACCTAATAGAGTGGATATAAAACTAAACTTTTTAGAAGGCCTTAAACAGAAATTACTGATTTTCTAGGTTCCTCTTACCCCGGCGTACCTTATATTAAATTTGAGCCGGTTTTTATTGAGCAGTGTAGTTTTTTATGAAAAAACTTCGGATTATGTCTTATACACCTATTTTTTTCAAGTCCATTAAACGTGCAGACAAGTGTACCATAAAATTAATAATACAAACAACCCACATTATTAGCACTTTCTAAAAAATTGACACGATCAACGACCCGCCAAATCCATTACATCCACAATCCTTCACACCATTCACAGATTCGCCGTACCACACGACTACACAGGAACAACGAGTTTCCACTCGAAACGGACACAATACAATGAAATGTGTAAAGTTTCGAAGTATGAAAAACGTGAAAAAGCATGAAAGAGTCAAAACAGGAAGGAAACGGCAATTAGTGGGACCAGAACCAGAGCACAACGAGCCGAGTGGGGTTGGAATTGAAGCTAAGTGTATGATGGGTACGTGTGTGATGGTGCGATGGTCGGTGGTCAGCCTAGACATGGTTACCAAAATATTAGAGAGGGGAATAAATGGTAGCGGTTACTGTTATCGAAAGATTTTTTTCTTCTTATTGAGATTTATAAACAATATTTAATTTGATGAGTGATATAAGGTTGAATGCTCGAATAAATGAACTTTGATCAAATGAACGGCAGATATTGAATCTTCTTCTTTCAGTGCCCTGTCCAATTATCGAACGTTGGCGATCATATTGGCAATAATAACCTTATTCACGGCGGCTCTAAATAAATTAAAGGTGGTTTTACCGTCGATCTTACCCTGTATTATGGGGTGTAGAAGGTTATACCTCTCTGGATGTCTCATTACATGACCGAAATATTGTAACTTCCGAATTTTTATCGTTTTGTTATTTCTGTGTTCTTTTTCATTGAAAAAATGAAAAATAAAAAGATATTGAATACAGTCTATGAATTAAATCTTGCCTACGCACTTTCGCTTCCTAGAGCATCTTCGGTAACGAAGATGCTCTAACGGTAATCCACACAAAACCTCGTCGTTCCGCCTTTCTTCTTAACCAGAACCACCGGAGAGACCCATGGGCTCGTAGAAGGTCCTATCACCCCCGTCTTTCTTCAGTTCCTGAACAATCGTTTTAGCTTCCTCTCTTTTCGTCTGTAGTAATCATCGAGCTGTTTGACGAATTGGCTTAGCATTACCAGTATCAATTTCATGCTTAACAACGGTAGTTCTTCCCGTCTTTCCACCTTTCGGTACGAAAATATCACGATACCGCCGAAGAAATTCCCTTTTCTCCGTCTAATTTAGATACTGTCCAGCAACTGCAACCATTTGGTCGAATTTGTCGAGTGAATACGAGTGTTTCAACACTACTATCTTCAGATAGTTTTTGTGTTCCTAATTATCGTTCTAATATCCTTTTAAATAGCTAGATGTTACTAAATCGCTACCTGAAATAACGCGCCCACCTCTAGTCACTGATAATTATGTTTAAATTCTTCAAGCATGAAAATTGAAAATAAGGGGAAATATTACAATTACAATATTAGTCAATCATTTTTGGCTCACGAGTGAACAATTTGTTCTACTTTAGAGCATAGTGATTATCAATGAAGATAATTTAGAGAAGAATAGTCATGTGAAAGATTCATTTTTACTTGACTATTCCACCAATATTTGGTATCTTTTGAAGAGTTTTGGATTTAATGTATTTAAATTCCAGTATGTATAACAATGTATAAAGAACTGTTAAGTTGCTTTATAAATGTATAAGTTTGCAAGTCTGTTGTATGATAGATACACTACATATAAAGAAAGATAATAGATATTAAAAAACTTTATTTACAAATGAACAAAATAACATATTTATACCAATTTACTCTTTAATAAATAAAAATATACCAATTTTATTTGCCAAAACCTCCTAGGCACCTAGGGCTGGGTTCTACAACCTTTTTACTCTTATCCCATTCTTCCGGCGTTCTAGCTTCAATAGACAATGCATGTACTCCTCCATTCAACTCTTCCTTTAAAACACTGGTTACTGCCCTGTGTCTCTTGATCAAGGGAAGATCTTTGAACTTTTCAGAGACCACCAATACTTTAAAATGGGTTTCGGCTCCTTTGGGAACGTTGTGCATGTACGATTCGTTGATTACTTGTAAATGAACGGTTTCTAGCTGCTTTTCTAGTTTATTCTGAATTGAAGTGGCTATTTTGTTACCTGTACTCATCTTGCGAACCGTTGTCAACAATTTTAACATCTCATTTAATAATAATTTTTGTTTTGTAATCTGAACAATCTAACCTAAAAATTATCAGACTTCAAACGTCAAATCAATACTGTATTTTTATTTGCATAACTAATAGTCGACTGGAATTTAATATTTTTTGGTAATCACGTTAGTAAGGCTATTTTAGTCGGATTTTTAAGGCTAGGCAAAAGAAAATTTTGCCTTTTTTCCCAATTTTCGGGCTAAAAAATTCGCATTTTTAGCGACACTTACAAATGTAAACAAATACCGAATCTTTTTATATTATGTAAAAACTTCTTCTTGTAAAAAAAATAGATAAAAATAAATGCTAGTATTACTAAATCTGTTAAATTTATCTGTTAAGATTATTATATACAATATTTTTATTAATATCAATTTTTTTTAATATAATATTATACAGCCACCTACAGGAAATTCATTTTTCGTGTGGAAATGTATTATAATATTACTGGTTGCATATCTTACAGTCAAGTAGATTTTTTGGTAAAATCACAGAGATATAATTTCTTTGTAGATCATATATTTTTATTTTTATTATATAATAAAATAACAAAAAAGTGGAATTTCCAATTTAGATACAAATAATTTTTCTGTTATGCTTTTTTCAAAAATAAGTGATACTTATGAAACGTGTCGGGTATTTCTTAATCCTAAAGTTTATTATGCACTTGAGTTTATTTAAAATTGTTGTTGTCTTTTTTGAATTTTAAGTGAATTATTGAAATCCCAAATATCAAATGAATTAGGTTCGAATCATTGGGACATTTTTTAGAAACACGATATTATAGTTTTGTTTACTTCTACTCTGTAAATTCTACAACCTGGTATCAAATCTATACTATAATTATCGCTTAATAATTATAATTATTAATAAAATACTATTTTGTTGATCACTCTAAATGTATATAATTAAGAATACAGTTATGTGTATTGGTAGTTGCTAGTGCTGGTGCTGATTTAAAAAATTTGTTTTCTTTCTGTCTGTTTATACTTTGACAGGTGGCTGCACTGGCACGCTATGAAGATGGCCGCGATCTCATAAAGACGAAAGTTGTGATGTCTGTTCTGCTATTAAAAAAGTGATTGTGAAACTTCATTGAGAAATTTTATTGCATTCTTAAAGCATTGTTAGCAAGAGAACGTATGCAGATTAGCTGAAGGATACAGAAGTTTCATTTAACAATATGTGTAAAATCTAGGGAACAGTGTCTCAGTGACAAAACAGTGTTTATAACCTGTTTACAAAAAAATAATTGTATTCGAATTTTCATATCAGTTTGTGAGTTAAAAATAAAAATAGTTAATCGTGAAGCGGTACGTCGATGAAGTGCGAAATGCGAATGTTCTTTGGTTTGCGTCAAACAACCTGTTAAATAGTGCACTGAACTTATTGTTTACAATTTTTTTCAAAAATCCTGATCCCTCTCGGCAATCAGAATACACAATTTCAGTCAAAATGAAGACTAGAAAAATACACTTGGATACCGTTCAATGACCAAGTCGATCTGATAGACTTCGTGTTGTCGAATTAATTATTTTAAACAACTTTTATGAAATACTTTTTCGTTGAGGTTATGTGTAGTTACGGGGCACTGTGAATTGTCGGGATTTTGTGCGATGTGATGGGACAGTGACTGGTCGGCAGCGACACGCTGGATCGAGGGATCCCTGGTCCAGGGGGTTGCTTAGACGGCGGTGGGAACGTTCCCACGGGGCCCCCCGTCGTCCCCCAGCCCCCAGGACTGTCCAGTCTTCATAACAGTGAAGTTACTCCTAAGCAGGCCTTAGTGGAAAGGTAAGCCAACATATTCTCATTCATTATGTAGAAAAGAACATCATAAAATAGTATTCTCTATATAGTATGATAGTCTTGTTTTTCTCATTTGTACTGTTCTGTAGTACTGTATCATATTCATATATTTTCTGTAAGGCTTTTCATACTTCTTAACCTTTTGGTAATTTTCTCATCTACATGTTAAATTTTCATATATCCTTTGAATTTTGTCCTGTCAACAACTCAATATATGTTTCTTGTACTCAAATTAAACTTCTGTAGCTAGGATTTATTTTGAAACATTGTTTGATAATGTTTCTTGCTTTTTATATGATTATATTTCAGATAAATCAGTTAGTTCCATACTGTTCTAGCTGTTTGCTTAGATTTTGATTTGAGTCCTAATTTATAACTTCCTTTCATCTTTTTTATTTTGTTTATTTCCAATTGAATTACTGGATTTAACTACTTTACATCATATTTTATGTAAATTCTATACAAACCCTTTGTTTTCTTATCACCTTTCTTATAGGTCCATTGGTAATACACTTATTCATTTTCTAAACAGTAAACATTTGACATTTTTTTGCTGACTCCAATAAATTTCTATACATATAAAGACCATAGTAAAAAAGTGCTAGGCAACTGTAAAATTATAAACGTAGACTCATATAAGTATCTTGGAGTTACAATTACTAAAGGAATCTATGAGACCACAGTGGAAAGTCTCCTAGCTTATGAAGCTTAGGTCTGGCAAATGACAGAATGTTTAAAAAAAAGGTACTGTCAATGGAAAACACTTACAGAAAAGAATACATATTGAAACAAGGATAATTGACATCATTGAAGTCCAGAGTTTGAGATGGTATGGATATGTAAGACATATCAAATGGTACAGGTGGCATAAGAAAATGATAAACCAGTACAGAGAAGAAGAAGAGGACGCCTGAGAAAGACATGGCAGGTGGGCATCAGACAAGACATGACTGAAAAGCATCTATAGGATGATGACAAAGTCATAGGAAAATATGGTGACACTAAAATAAATGAAAATGGGGAACACTTAATCTAAATTCTGTGAACAGCACTCTCTGAAAATCCTAAACGGATTCTACAACATAAAAACAACATAAGTACCTGGTTCAACAACAAGAAACACAAGTCAATCATAGATTATGTCATCACAAAACAAGAAACACACATACAAGTTGAAGACATAAGAGTATTAAGAGGATCGGAGTGAGGAACTGACCACTATATGGTAAGATCAAAGTGTTACCTACAGTATCGACCTCAGCTACTGCATCAAAATGACAACCAACTAGCTCAATCAAAACCCCTGGAATCGAATCTACCTAACTACAATATTGATGCACTGCAAAAACGACTCGACATCATTCTTATATAAGCTGCGAATTAGCCAAAAATTGGCAAATCTGATCTACTCCTCAGCCCAGAATACCTATAAAGAGATAATTAATAAAATCAATTAAGCAGCTTACGAAGCGCTCTTCACAATCCAAAAGAACAAAAAGAATACTCCATTGTGGTGGAACAAATGACATCGCCAATGCAGTACATAACAAGAAACAAGCATATCAAAAATGGCTGCAAAAAAATAATCCAGATGATTGACGAACATATGCAAGATCAAAACAGAGAAGTAAAAAATTTAGTAATCAAAGCAAAAAATATTTCCTGGGAAAGTAAATGCGAAGAACTCAACAAATATATAGGGTCAAAAGATCAAGAGAAGCATGGAAAACGGTAAAAAACTCTGAGAACAAACAGAAAAGAAAACGAGAATAGATTTGATAGAAGAAAAATCTTGGATCGAACACTACTCACAACTTTTGACTGAAACAAGACCTCAATTCACGAACATCAGTACAACTACATATGAACTGGAATTCAGTGAAGATGATGAAATAACAGTACAGGAAATCGAGAATTCAATACGACCTCTAAAAAATCTGAAGTCATGCGGACCACAAGGTATACCAAATGAATTATTAAAACATAGCCCACTATGTATTACAGGAATTATTGGCGTATGTCTTTCACCTTATTCTATAATGGACACGACTTACCACAGTAGTGGACAAAAGCACATATTAACAACATCTACAAAAAAGGAGATAGAAAGAATTGTTCAAACTACAGGGGGCCAAGTGTCATAAATTCACTCTCAAGACTGTATGGAAAACTAATAAAAAATAAAATTGAAAAAGAGATGACAGATGTAGAAGAACAGAATGGCTTTCGTGCAGGCAGAATCCTGCATGGACAGTATATTCTCTCTAAAGCAAGTTATCGAGAAAAGATTAGCCCACAACCTTTCAACTCATATAGTCTTTATAGATCTGACAAAGGCATACGATAGTGTACCACTTTCAATGCTTTGGGTAGCAATGGAAAAACAAGGAATAAGCAAAAAAATATACAAGCAGTACAATAGCTCTACAAAAATATGACAGCAAACATTAAAACTGGAAATAGATTAACTAGAGAAATTCCTATTAGTATTTTTTATTATTTCTTCACTTTCTTCTCTTGTGGTCTATGGTATATTTCATTTTTCTCATAATTTTCTTTAACACTCCTTACTTTGTCATCAATATACTTTCGTTTCCACTCTCTTAGGGTTTTCTTTACTTTTTTTTTCATTGTTTCTTTCTAGGTCGTCTTATTTTTGTGATTGTAAACTTTTTAATCTCAAATCTGATCTTTTTTTTAAACTCTGTTCTACATTCGTTATCAAACCATTGGTTTTTTCTAAATCTTTTTGTTCTTGGTATGTTCTTCGACATTGCTTCCTTTATAGTGTTTATCATTCTCAAGAACTTTTGTTGTATGTTACTCACAGTAGTACTATCATGTTTGGCATAGGCTTCTTGTATACCCTTTTGATAATCTGCACTGCCTCAAATTTTCGCAGTTTTCCAGAAGTAAATTTACGTTCTACTTTCTTTTTCCCTTTATGCTTTTTAATTATAGCTTCTGTTATATTAATTCTAACCAAAAATGATCTGAGTCTATGTCATCCCCTCTGCATGTTTTCAAATTTGTTATTAAATTGGCGAATTTCTCTTTTATTAAGATGTGGTCTATTTGATTAGTTTCATTTGATCCCGGAATTTTCCACGTTTCTTTATATATATATATTTTTTCCACTGAAATGCGTACTCATTATTTTCATCCTGTTTTCAATTGCGAATGTAATCAATCTTTGGCTATTATCATTTGTATTCATATGTTTACTTTCA